AATGGAGAATGGAACCACAACATTACATGTACAAATGGTACGTGCAGCCAAAAGCATTTCACAGTCATTCAGTCACAGTCAAGTCATTGAGCCTGCTGATTTTTTATTCAAGTACTATTATGAATGTATAAAAAAACAATGGAAATTAAATTTTGTGTTTGGTGGTTTGGTGCTGTTGAGTTTAAGCTGTGGTTCAGCTCTCCATCATGTTATAATGTATTTCAGCAAGGGTAAAGGGAACATACTGGCTTGAAGAAATGTGTCAGTTCAAAATATGCTACGCAGTATTGATTTCACTTTGTTGACCAATTCACAATAACTAATATAGTTTAAAATTTGAAATGCTATGGGGGGGGGGGGGCTGAATTAGCCAAATCAAGTCATCTTCGTCTGCATAGTTATGGGTTTATTTCAAGGAATGCAGCTATTAAGACGCATCCCTCTGTCGCAGCTCAGCTTCCTTGAGAAGCACACAGAGGGAGTGGGTAGTCTTTCATAGAGTCTGCAATATTGAACCGCCAGGTTTTTACAGTAGTCGAGAACAGATAAACCAAACACTGGCTCTAAATTGACAGTTTTCGCGAGTTTCGAAGCCACCATAGTTTCTCCTACATGCTTGGAAGGAGTGGTGGTATTCAGTTGGTTGTAATCTGAAACTTCGAGATGGACTAAATCCTACTCTTTTAAGAGAGATTAAAATACAAATCTATCCTTTAGGTTGTCACAAAAAATGGAATGAAGGGTAAACACACCTAAACTAAGTTTGCCCATATTTGTAATTGCTTGAATAATGTCTTTTACATTTTACACTTACATTTATTCATTAGACAGACACTTTTGTCCATAGTAGCGTCATAAACACGAACTGACAAATACAATATCATGTCAGACTGTGATTTTAAAATTATTTGGTCAATCTGCACCCTTGTGACAAAAGACAATTACTACCAAAGTAAAGTCTCTGTACTTCATGTGAGTACTAATCATGGTGGAGTTGCATTCCAGGCGAATATCATAAAAGTACACAGTGTCCTTTGAGGGAAAGACGGGCACCTACGAGGGTGGGTGCTAGGTGTGATGCAGCAACCTAGGACCACATAACACCATGAGTAATAAAATAAAATAAATTATAACATGCCTGGTTAAAAATATCCTCAGAAGACTCACACAATACAAAGACACCTCAGAACCGTAATAGCTTTGTTTTATTTCAAAACCTAAAGGTTATTTATAAGTGGATGCCTGATTTACGCTCACTGCTTGTTTTTTAAATTTTCTCCCACAGCTACCGCAGATAAAGCAGCTCCTGCAGATAAAGCAGCTCCTGCAGATAAAGCAGCTCCTGCAGATAATGCAGCTCCTGCATATAAAGCAGCTCCTGCAGATAATGCAGCTCCTGCAGATAATGCAGCTCCCGCAGATATTGCAGCTCCCGCAGATACATAATAATGATGCTGATTTGGTATGAGAGCCAAAGGAGTCTCAGTAAAAATGCTAAACTTTTCTATGATCTTTTTGCATCAATTGTTTGTCAGAACACAAAGAAAACATTTGCCATGTGCATTATTCATAATGATGTAGTATCTTAAATGTAATACATGATCCTAATACATATGATTGTTGGAAAGGGCAACACTGAATGATTGAATCAATTCTTTGTGTGACAGTGTGATCTGAAATGATGAAGCTATGGCATATTGAATAAAAGAGGAGAAAAATGCTTTGTTTGGTGTTTCTATTCGTATAATGACTAAATACAGTAGGCTATATGGAGTCTATTCAATTTTTAATTTTCATTTTTTGGATAAGGAATCCATAGCTAGACTAGACTCAAGACTAGTAACCACCACTATTGAGGTTTGGCAGAATATGGAGGAAAAGTCACGAGGTCTGCACCATCAATATAAGATGGGTGACATGACAGCTCCAAAAAAGTAAAGCCAAAACATCTTCATCGCCCCCTGGTGGCTGACAGCAGTATAGGTCATGAAGCCTGCTCCACCATTATAGTAGATGGGACATCAGCCAATGTTGTTTTTTGTGGTGTGTAAAGGCTACACATTTTTACAATTTGAGAATATAAGAATCACTTTAGGCCTACAACAGTGAACAGACAATGTTAAAAGCAACTGTTTCTCATGTCCGTATAATTTTTTATCAAAGCCACAGGGAGCCAAGAGAGGGCTTAAAGAGATGCATGTGACTGTGGGGCCACAGGTTGCCTACCCCTGATGTAGTGTATAAAATAGCTGTACCAAGATGTTGGTGCAGAATTTTATAAATAGTTTTGAAAAGGTAATATACATTTTAATGTCCAAAGAGACGTTTGTTTGTTTGTGCAGAACTTTCTTACAACCACATACACACAAACATCAGATCATACCAGGGCAGGAATTCACGGGGGCGACGACGGCCACATACAGTTTGCTTCCCACAGACATTCAAAACAAAATATCAAAAGTGGTTTTGGGCTTTCAAATCCGGTTTCATCTTGGCAGAACATATATTTCAGTCAGTCATCTCTCACAAAAGTGTGGCCCACTATCTATACTTAACTACCATACCTACATGACATAGCAAATACTATAGCTAAACTGCACAACTTCATTCTTGAAATGTTTGTAGGGCTAAATATTTAATCTGCCCTTTATGTTTATGGGTTTTTGGTTAAAATTAGATTATAGTAAAACTGGGGAATCGGGATTAATCTAGGTCAATACAATGTCTTCAAATTGAGTAACACAAGTGACACTTACAGTTTGAAGGAATTATATTTCCTCAGCAGCATTTCTCATTTGGTGTACTTTTAAGTATGAATAATTATAGTGCAAATAAACTGTTTAGCTCTCTCAGTACCAACAGTACCAATTGATTCAAATGATTTTTACAACAGACTTTGTACTGTATTATCAACACTGCTCATGCCAAGTTGAATGTGGTAATCAGTACTAACAGAACAGACAGATACTTACAAACATATCAGACATTTAGCTTTAAACTGTTTTTATGCAGCTCAAGATAGTCCTAAAGTAGTCTGTATGTGCTGCATCTCAACTTTTGTCTAAGTGTTATTTTCAGAGAGTTTATGTTATTTTCTAGTTGTGTTGGGACAAGAGGGACCATAAAATATGAAGGGTCCTGTAAGAAATATGAAGAAGAAGACTCTCTTGCAACATTTTATGAATCAATTTGATGTGATAGCAGAGAAATACATTTCTTTGCTTGAAAGATACTCTATGTGGACTTTCCCAGAGCTTGTGGTGATAAACAGTGCGTGCTGTGCATGTTCCCCTGTGTCATGTTGTGTTCATACAGCCTTGTGCAATCCCACTGGGCAAATGATGTGACCCTTAGTACTCCCTGAGGACTGTGGCTGGGGACAAAAACACAGGAATTGCATTGAGTTTGTCAGAGGAGTTTGCCTCAGTTAGACTCTTGTTTGTCACAGCTGCTTGTCAGAATGTGGTCATCTTTAATACTTTTGTTTCTTCAACTGTGGACGACTGAGCAAGTTCCTTTATCACAGAATAGTAAGATACTTTTTTTTATTAAATACTGGCTTTCTAGAAGTGTGCATATTTTATGTTTTGATTTGTGGTATTGTCTTATTAGTGTAGGATGAGTGTATAGTGGGATAGTTGGCTTAAGTATGCACAGTATAGTCTCAAAAGTATATTCTTCACATACTTAAAGATCTTCTGATTCACATGTTTTGATATAGCTCTGAAAAATGGCATCTGTAGCCCACAACTGTTGAGAAGAAATATCCAATTTCTTCTTTTTTTCCCATTTTGTTGTTTGATAGTAACTTGTTCAGCGGTCCCAGACATTCCTAATGCCTACGTGTCAGAAGAAACTAAAAAAGATGAGTACCAAGGAGGAAATGTGATACGATTCACTTGTGAAACTGGTTACATATCGGGTCCAGCCATCAGATATGTATGTTCAGACGACGGCTGGGTGGCACTCCACAAGGGAAAATGCTACTGTGAGTTAAATGGCTTTCTTTTCTTGTTCTTGCAGGTTACAACAAACACAGATTTATTTATTTCCAAAAATTCTAATTTGACAATATTATTGACATCATTGTAATTAAATAACCAATTCAGTTTATGGTAACTAGAGAGTTGAAAAAATGCTGCATTATTTTGCTGATAACAATTTCTAGTAACTGCACATCAACCTACCTCTTCAAAGCTACAAAATAATAACATGGCTATTGCAGTGTTTTTATGAAAAGAATGATCAAAATCACGTCACTGTCAGTTTGCAAGTTCTTTTAACAAAAATCCAATAAAGAATAAGGCCCAAAATTCAAAACTGGGTTTAACAAAATGACTTGTAAACCTTGATGAAACTGATTGGTTAATGAATTACCTCTTTTTTCTTTCAAGTAAAGCCTTGTGTACTTCCTGAAGAAACTCCCAATGGCTATTATCAACTTATCCACGGGGAAGACTTTGTTTTTGGAGCAATTGTCAAATACTTTTGTAATGAAGGGTAAGTGGATCTGTAATTATTATATTATCATTATATAAAATAGAAATACCAGTATCACAGCCTTTGTAAGCCTGTCTGTTATAAATCGTTAGTTGTAAATATACTGCTTATAAATGTATAGGGCATCTCATCGCATCTGTTCATTGCAGGTATCAAATGGTGAGTAAGACTGACACCAGGACTTGTAAACTGGACAAATGGAGCAATCATGTGCCAATATGTAATCGTAAGTCTTGCTTCTGTGTTGTTACTGTCAACTTTAAAGCTGCGCAGGAAAGTTGTTTGTACAAGCATGTGCACATAAAATTTTCGGGCAGAGGTTAACAACCCCCAATGTCCACTGGGGCCAGAAACATCAAATAAATCCTATTACGCTAACGACAGGTGGAAGCTAAAGATTTTGACTCATTGATTTTAATGCGCCCAAAACCAAAACAACAAAATGTGATTTCTCAGAAAAGAAGCTGAAAAATTAAAACTGATGGTCATAACATAAACCTCTAGGATTCTTAGATTATCTAGAAGAGTCCTTGCTTCTATGTTAAGTAACAATGAGGGTATCATTGAAAATGAATGTGGAAAAACAACCCCTCCTACTGTGGAACTCAATGAGGAGGCTCTTCTCTCCACTAAAGCCCCAGTGTGGGATTTTGGCTGATAAAATATACATCAACTTCTTGTCTTTTTTTCATTCATTGACTTGACTGATGTGTTTACTCAGCTTTGAGCTGTGACCCCCCGCCTGCAGATGGAGGGTTAATAGTTAAAGGTTTACCAGAAAATGATGAACCCATACTTCCTGACCACTTCCTCACATTCAGCTGTCACCGTGGGAAATCTCTAAATGGCAGTTCAAGGCTGATATGTGGTAACGATGGACAGTGGGATGAGCCATTCCCTACATGTGAAGGTAGTAAAGTAATTATTCTGTACACAATATTAATGTGATACTTTCCAATTGTAAAGCATGTTACAATAAACTAAAATGCCTGCATACGTTAGAAGGGTGGCCCCTGTGGGACATAAACCCCAGACCACTAAATGTTTTTCATTTGATAATATTTTATTTGTTCCAGACGTCACTTGTAAAGTTGGGGTGATGCCCAGTCAACTCAATGTAATTGGAGAACAACGAGCAAATGAAAGAGTGAAGGTCGGACATAAATTACAGTTTCGATGCAATAATCCATATTCACTCGATGGGTCGGAAGAAATTGAATGTTTAGAAACTGGGCAGTGGAATACAACCTTTCCAACTTGTTCAGGTATGTTCATTTTCATTTGAAGTTAATCCCATTCATGTTTTTGAGTGGACTCATCTTTATATATTTAAATTAAATATTAATCCAGAGATTCACAGGACAAAATAGCAAAATGTATGCTAATTGAACTGAAAGTACAATATTCAAATATTTTATAACTGTTTATAGATAAGAGACACAGGGATGGATAGATGATGGAGGAAAGATCACACTAAGCTCAGAGAGTGACAACAGGTCAAAATAAGAGGAAGTAATTTTGCTGTCTACATAGCAGTAATAGAACCTGTAATTGTTTTTGTTGTTGTTTTGTTTTGGGATTTTTTTGCCACTGGGGCAACCAAAAACAAGCTATGGAACATCACTAACATTGGTTATCATATTGGATTATCGTGTTTTGAGTAAAGGGTCCAATATTCACACTCCACCTCTGTATGGTCCCCACCAATTGTTTGCACCTCAAGCATATTGTCAATACTCCGATTGGTGTCAACGCCATGCCCTAAAGTGACTGTCCTTTGCAGGTCTCGATGTATTTTTAACCATTTGCTGAGAGCAAGGGAGAACTAGCAGAACTGAAGGGTGCTAGGTACACTTTAAAGAGTTAATTATGTAATGGGCGAGGATTAGCTTAAAATGGTTCAACCCTAGAAAAGGGGAGATTTGACACCCCCAAATACTCAACCTATACAACTTAGCATTTGAAAATGGCCCGTTGCCCAGTTCTAATATTTAACTTCAATCATATATGAATTAATAATTAATGGCATACATGGGTTTCTTTCATCTACCAAAACAAACAGCAAAGGAGTTGCTGTGGCACAATTCAAAGCCATTTCTGCTCATGCTTCTCAGCTCACACTACTGCTGGTAGCCACCTGAAGGGTTTTGGAATGAAAGGCTCTCCATAGTAGTTACCCTTTTAACAATTATAGGCAGCAGAAGTAGAACTGAATATTCAGGCAGCTTTGCAAGTCGGACCATATACTTTCACATCATTTTCATGTTTTTGAAATGTGGCGTGAGCTGACAAGGTTTGGTTACCTTGGGAGGAGGTTGAGGAGGATTGGATGGAGAAGGTTGATGACTTCCATGCAGGGGGACACTCCTGTTTGCGCAGCGGATTGGTGTGGTGAAGGATGATTGTTTGGTGGCTTCCGCTCTTCTTATACAGCCGTACAATGCAACTCTGGGACAGCCTGGTGGCAGTGCTAACACACACACAACAACACACACCACACCACAACACACACACACAACCACACACACACACACAAACACCACACACACACACACACACACACACACACACACACACACACAACAACACCACCACACACACACAAACACCACAACACACACACACCACACACACACACACACACACACACACACACACACACACAACACAAACACCACACAACCACAACAAA